TCTTTCCTGCCTATGCAGGGGGTCGGACTCGATGATCTATTGAGGTCCCTTCTGGCCCTAACATCTATGAATCTATGAACTACAGCCGATCTCTGACGCTGCAAAGGTTTCTGCTAGTTTTAGAGCTTCTTCGCAGTTGCGTGGGGAATGTTGATAGACCCATCATTGCATACATTCCTCCAGGTCATTAAGAAACTGTTCTAGCAGTATTTGGATAGCCAGAGCATCTCGATTTGCATGAGGCAGGGTTTACCCATTTATTAAAAAGATCCCGCAGGAACTGCAGTAGGAGCCTGGACTGTTTCTCCTCCAGTCCCTTCTTCACCCGGAACAGCCATCTATAGTGCGCCGGTTGATTTCTAACCGGTACAGGATTGCTGCTTTCACCAGATCATAGTTGCGAGCCTTGTCTCTTGGGAGGGCCCGATAAGCCACCTGGGCTTTACCCACAACGAGGGCGTCAAGTTCACTGGCCCAGTATCCTTTACCAAGTCCCGTCATTATGGCATGTCGATATAGGCTTCCAGATCATCTTCTCGTGTCATCTTTGGCATTTTAAATGCTGTGACGCAACCAATCCTGTTGTCGAACCATCATTTGCTGCTGGGTATCAAGGATCTGTGTCAGGGCCTGTAAATTGTGACCTAGCATGTCCGGAGGGGCCATGGCCACGGGTTGCATGTTGGGATGCTCCTTGTGCACCGGGCTTTCTGTTTGATTTCCAGCCAATGGACCACTTTGTGCCTGCCTCGCTTCGAACACCCATTCATGCATTGCCCTAGCATGTGTGCCTGGTGGTTGGCACGGTGAGGGCTTGTGTGGCCACTGAGAGGGACCTTGATCACCCCAGAGAAAGCCCCTAAACTCATCTGCCATGACTTTGAATGTATTTCCAGTGGAGGGGTCTTCCTCTGTAGGTCCCTTGGGGTCGGTCACTCCTCCTGGTGGATATTCGTGGGGCTCCACCTCTCCTACCCCTGATGCCAACCTCCAGCAGGCCACTTGATTTTAAGGTGCCCGTCCCTCCGGTGTAGATGACCTTCTATTTTTGACTCCCTTTTTGGGATTGGTTATTAAATTTGTTTCTTTCATAGGCTACGGGCCTACTGGATATGCCCATCTTGTCTCTCTTCCCTGGTGTCTACGGCCACTTGCTAAGCCTCGTGATCACTCTGGTGGTGTGGAGTCGGTCAGATCTCCCTCGAGGCAGACATAACCCCAGAGGCACTCAAAGAACAAAAATAAAAGAAAAAAGGACAGACCATAACAGCAACACAAAAGACTGTATACAGGCTAATAGTAACTAAGGAGAGAAAAGGATTAAAAGAAAAGGATAAGGGGGCAGACAGAATAGACAGAGATCAGGATCAACTGCTGCTTCTCTCTTTCTGCCCTACGGCTTGAGCCAGATAGCATCCCCCGATGCTGATCCACTCTACACCTTTGTTGGTGTATCTTCTGCCCTTCCCCGGGTCAGCCTCCCTCCATGGCTTGGTACCTGTGAGAATCTGAAGTAGGAAGCCTTCATTGTCTCCGGGTCTGTTATGGCTCCTTTGGGAGTGAGGTCATCCCCTGGACACCGGTGATGCTCATAACCGGCATGGGGTTTATTCTCTGTTGCTCGGGGTGCCTCTCCCCAAGCATAATCCGTCCCTTCGCACTGGGACTGCTTACCGCCTATGCAGAGAGCCTCCACTGCTGCTCTCTGGTCCAGATACTTTCTTTCGAGCTGGTGCTGCCTGTTGCCAGCATGGAGAGCCTCCGCAGCCTCTCCCGCTCTCCCCGTTTCTCTTCTGACGCTCCCTTTTATCTTTGCTGGCCGGTGATTGCTCCTGAAGTGACCCGCCGGCTCCAGCCATATATAGGCACGGCTTGAGAACCGCGCAGGCTTTGTTCTTTGTTCCTTTGATGTCTGGTGTCCTGTGGCTGCTAAGTGGTTTCCAAGGATACCAGCCAAGGAGCAAAAAGAATAAGACCCCAGTGAGCCCATGGATTGCAGTTAAGTTGCCAAAGGGAAGGGTGCAATATGGGTATGTCCCGTAATTAAGGCTTGGATCAGAAATTGCCCTGTTCAGGCTACCCTGGACTCTGGGTGTACCCAGTCCCTGGTGAGGATGGATCTCATCACCCATCAGCGAGATCGTAGAGCTGACCCAGTGAACATGGCATGTCTTCATGGGGAGACCAAACAAGTCGATTGCCAGTGGGTACGACTCAGGGTAATGGAACACCAGGGAGACTTACTGGTGGGCATAGTACCCCGCTTAGCCTGCAACATGCTACTAGAACGAGACTGCACACCAATATACGATACGCTGGAAAGAGTCCAGGATGCTGAGGCTGAGAAAAGAAAGATCCGGAACCATGAAGCCTGGTTCAGTGAACTTGAGGAAAGCGAGGCATCAACAAACATGATGGATGAAATTGACCTCCGCAATGTAGCCAGCAGCTGGCAGTTTTGGGATGCCCAAGATCCCAGACTTCAGGAGCTTAGGTCACTGCCCCTGAACACCACTGCCAATCAGACACCAGCACTGGAAGGGACTCCACAATTCAAGGTAAGGAACCAACTCACATACAACCCTGAAGGGTAGGGGAGTCTGAAAAGAAACAATTGGTAGTACCCACCCGTTTCCGCCAAGTCATTTGGCGACTGGCCCATTCGAACTCCATGGGAGGACACTTAGGTCAGGATAAGACCACCGCTAGAGTATCCCAGTGGTTCTTCTGGCCAGGGTTGAGGGAATATATGGTGTGCCATTGCACAGCTTGTCCCAAATGTCAGAAGGCCAGGAAGGATCACCCAACGAGGGCCCCACTTCAACCCATGCCTATCACTGATATCTCATTTTCAAGGATAGCCATGGATGTGGTTGGACCACTTCCCCATAGCAGCACAGGACACCAATATATACTGGTATTCATAGATTATGCCACCCAGTATCTGGATGCCATGCCCCTGAAGGCAGTAACAGCTCCACGGATCATGGAAAAACTCATTAAGTGGACAGCGAGGTTGGAGACTCCTCAGGAAATCCTCACTGACCAGGGGCGTAATTTCATGTCTGGGGTGTTACAAGTGGTATACCGCACCCTGCGGATAAAATACCTGCATACATCTGTGTACCACCCCCAGACTAATGGCCTGGTAGAATATCTCAATGGGACAATAAAAAGAATGTTGCAGCACTATATAAGAGGAGACCCGTGAAAGCGGGATCTGATTCTTCCATTAGTTTTGTTTGTCCTTTGGGACACTTCACAGGAGTTGATGAAATACTCTCCCTTTGAGCTAGTATTAGGTCACCACCCCAGAGACCTACTCCAGGCTCTGAGAGAAGATTGGGAACAAGATGCAGGGAATGCGAGGGATTCAGTCACATATCGGCAAGAATTCCAACAAAGGATACAGCTGGCCCGAGACTTGACCAAGGATAATATGCAGGAGGCACAACATTGTCAGAAAGAGAGGTATGATGTGCACACCAAAGAGCAGGAATTCGAACCCGGACAGAAGGTGTTGGTGCTGCTGCCCACATCCTTGAGAAAGCTGCTAACCCAGTGGTAGATCCTGTTTGAGATACACCACAGGGTG